GTTTATCATGTGAAAGCAGAAAATTAGTGTAGGAGTATTGTATATCAGGGAGAATATCACATTTAGCCCAAATTAGGAGTAGAATGATTTGCAGTGGACTGACAATTGTAAACAGAGTGTTATTAATGACCCTTTTTTTGCTGTGGAAATAGTTAATAAAATATAAAAGACAAAAAAAATTCTTAAGAATTCTTAATGAGGGATTTTTAGTGTATTCCATTACACTTTTTTAAATTCAGCAAATCTTGAGTGATTCTCAAGCACAGATGAATACAGGCTAATATTTCCAAAATACAACAGCTAGAGTTTTTTTATTCTGCAGAACTCAAAACCACAGTATGTTTGTCTTGTGTGTCATCTCATCCTCTTTAATGAGGTTTGTATGTAAGTTTTGGTATTATATTCACTTAAAAAATCAGAAAAATAAATCTAATATTAAATGCTGAAAGAGTCAAAGATTAAAACCAGGTTTTCTGTGTTCAGAGTATGAAACAACAAAATGCTTGGTTTTTTTTTGGTTATAATTCTAAATTCCGTCCTACAAGTGGCTAACACCTCTTCCTGTCTTTGCCCTGTTAATGTAGAAAACAGCATGGGGTAAACTTTCTGCATTTGTGATGTGAGAGAAATTGTTTTTATATTGAGAATATATTTTTTATATTGAGAATATATGAAGTGTATAATAGGAAGGAGGGGCAAAATGAATAGTAAAGAGACAAAATGCAGAACTTTGGTTTTTTAGCTTGCCAGATATGTTAAACGGAAAATAAAATCTGAGTTTTTAGCATCTGGGGGAGAATATAGATTTTTGGAAGCCATAATAAAGAAATCCTCTCATGGAAAAAAATCTTTTTCTGAGTTTCATAGAAATAATTAAATATGTGGTTTATGAGGCTATTTGTTAAGTTGAATGCATGAAAAAATTACTAATGCTGTAAATCTGAATGTGTCAGATTCACATTCAGGGGGTTGGAAAAAATGCCCCATGAGCAACTTACTCCATTATAGTTCCCTGTGACTTTCTGAAGCACATGATGCCATTTGGTTGGACATTTTTGGGTTTTGATCATTTACTGTGGCAGTTCCTATTACCCTGTCTCGAGGTCTCATTTGTGTACTGTGTTTGTTTAATGTAAACCTCCTCAGTTTTTAGCTAAACAAATGTAAAGCTCTGCGAGGGCTTTGCTAAGTAGACTCAAGTGGTCTCACTTGCTGCATGCAGTGAAACCTAAATAAGGCTTATGGAATTCTCTGGGAGCAGCTTGTGTTGGTTGTGTTAAGCTGGTTTGGTTATTTATCCTGGTGAAACTCGTGCATCTCTCAGGTTATTTACATCTCTCCAGCCTCCTCCTCTGAAAGGATTGTTCTTCCAGCACTGTGCTTCTCCAGCTTGCTTTCTCCTTTTGCTTTTGGATGTGTTTTCTAGTGCCCTGTTTTGGAGAGTTGATCTTGCTTTGTGCTTTGTAAAACCTCTTGCTCTTCACTGGGATGGAACTTCCAAAGGAGAGATTTTCAGGGGTCTGTATGTGTGAACCAAAACCTTTGTGTGCTCTGGAGGTTGGGAAGGAGAGGGGAGGAACACGAGGTGGCCACTGAGGAGGAGCTCCCTTCTCACCCATTGCAAAAGCCATAAACTGCTCTTTTGCCTGGGGCTGCCTTTAGCCCTTAATTAATCTAAATATCCCTTTTAAATTCTGCAAATTCTGGAAATTTAAAAACTACCTACCAGCTGTAATTCACGAAGAGGAAGGAACCCCTTGTCTCATTTGAATATTCAATCAGTGTATGTAGACTTCTGCTTTTAAATAATATGATTGGTAAATCCAATCGGTCTTCAAACTTTGTGGAAAACCCCTGAGTATTTACAACTTGTGACTTGAATATTTGTGCTATTTAAACCCCCATATTATTCATAGGACCCTGGGATGAGAGTCACTCTAAGATGTGTTTCATTACTTTTAAATGGCTAGCACTAGAATTGTGTATTTTGAAGGAAGTCATTGATGTTGCTTCAATAGGTAGTTAAGGAATGGTGGTTCTTGGTTTTCTTTCTACTACTGTTTTGTACTCATAAAAAATAGTCACAATTAGTCAGAATGGACTAATCTAGTTAATATTACCTTGAGGAAAAGTTCTAAATTTCAGCCTGCTATACAGTGTTCTTTAGGTACCTAAATAATTTCAGAATGCCATGGATTTTTTATGTTGTCCAGACTTTTAACGAATTTGGTAATCTTTCATTAACCCTATTGCATTATTGTTCCCTGTGTTTTTGGGAAACAAAAAAGTTGGATTGAATATATTTCAATACGATAACTTGGAAGCGTGCTGTTGAAAACAACACACCAAAGATATTGTTACTTTGAACCTTGGTAATGGGCACTTGTCAATCCAGTGTTATATTACATTCTATATGACACCCCTTTTCATTTAAAAAAAACCCAGGACTCACCTTATCTTTATCAAGATAACCTGTGCTGTTGGATGGTGGAGTCACAGGTTCTTGAGACTGGAAGTTGTTTCTGGATGTCTCTCTGGCCCAAGGCAGGTCCAATTAGGTCAGGTTATGCAGTACTTAATGAATTTTTAAATAAGCTGTTCCACTTCTTGGCTATATGATTGCTATCCCTAAACAAAATGTATAAATCAAGAAGAGCTACATTCAGTTTATAATTTAATGAAATAAATTGTGGGCCTGGTAGTTGTTTGAAAGTTGCCATCAAAACAGAAATTACTCTGTTTCAGGATGGGACAGTGTTATGGCAGCATTTTTGTATGGATAGCACTGAGACACACCTAGGATTCTTGGCTTTGGGAAAAATCTTCTGAAGCCCCTGTAATTTTCCATTTAAGGTGAACTTTACTTTTGAAGCAGTTAGAAAGCTCTGGTACCCTGGATCCAGCAGGGGCACTCATGGATATGCAGTGTAAGAGCAGCAGAGGCACAGAGTGCTGCTTCCCAGCATCACTCTCAGCAGCAGCAGGTTATTGGGAGCTGAAAGAACTTTCTGATCCAGACATTGTTTCTTTATATCAATAACGCATAAATAGATTTAATGCACTGATTATTAAAATTGTTTCAAGAGTAGCACACATTTTTAATGACTATAAATTAGCCACACAAGATGGTTTTGGTAATCACAGATCCCTGTTTGGGGAGACAAAAAAATGTAATATCTTGAAATGTTTGTATAACCATAGAGATGTGAGCCTCTCTCAAAGGGGGCTGACACTGGGGAGGAACAGCCTGGAGCAGATCTTGCCTTAGTAACGTGTTCTTGTTTTAATTTCTTTTTTTTTTTATAGTCACAACCTTCTCCCAATGAAATTCTAAAGCAGATGGTTGTTCCTTTTTCTTTTTTTCTTTGCAGGGTCTACTTATAGCTGTCTTGTTAGAACATGGATATTTAATATTTATGCAGTATGTACATGTGCACTGCTACCATTTGCTGTCTACATTATTTTAGTCTTCCATCTTGCTTAACAAACAGTGTCTGGACTCTTCAGTTTTACAGTGTGGTTAATAGAGGTCTTTCAATCAAAAAAGCACATAATGCTTCTGCTGTTTTTTCTTACTCCTGTGCCCCTTAAATGTCATCAAGTTTACAAAACTGGGGATATATGAACAAGTGAGTTATTCAGTTTAAAATAAAATAGCTTGAAGCCTCTATCATATTTAACCCCTCTAACTAGGCTCAGAAGAAGTTTGAGCTGATTTAATCCTTTGAGACAGAGCTTTGACAGAAGTGTGAAAATGCCACATTGCTGTATTTCTTCACAGCTGAAGCGGCTTCTTTTCCCCAAGTAAAGAGAATTTTGTTGCACCAGCAGATCATTACTAGTGTAGGTTCTGTGGTACAAAACCTGTGTTTGCTCTCTGTATCTTACAGATGCAAAACAAAGGATAATTCTGTCTCTCAGCCAACTTTATCTGTTGACTGACCTGAATTCAATGTATATTGCTGAAGAGCATGGGAGGGAGAAGCCAATCCAGAAAAAGCCAAATAAACCAAAACCTCCTACTCTTTCCTGGAGGTTTATTAGATGAACACCATCAAGAGCTGTGTATGACTGCAAAAACCACAATGATGATAAATGAGACACGTTGTTAAAAAGAAACCACTGATTATTACCATGCACAGTGGATAAACTGATTTAAAACCTGATCTGGTAGGGAACTTTGTTTTCGCTGTAATTTGATACACCCTCATGGGTTGTTGCTGTAGCTTATGGGTACCGCTGACCTTTTCCTTCTCTGCTTTTTAAATAATTATTAATGCAATATTTGTTTCTAAATGCAGGATAAATCTTATTGCAGTATCACAGTAATTTAGCTGAGTTCAGCAGTAAAATGTTCTGACTTCATGTAGCCTTAACTATTAATGGAAATTGTAAAAAAGTCATGTTTATGTATTCAGAGAAAAAGAAACCATAGCATTTAAATCTTGATTGCATCTATTTTTGTATTTATTAAGCACTTACTTAAGCTGCATTTTTTTAATGTCAGTTTGTAAAAATGGAGTTGATAGATGATGTCAGTAGTTCAGTCACAGGGTATGACTTTGTCCTCCTGGAGTACCAGGGAATCTCTGAACTGCTAAACATCAGTGTTCTCTTCTTCACTGGGGACCAGACACTCATTCACCAGGTGTTCTGGTCAACAGGTCAGGTGTATCTGAGATGTGAGGATGGATATTAGAATTGGTGAGGGTAGAAAATGGATGAGCTGCTGCTGGCGCAGGAGAAAATGGAGAGCAGTGGGATGCTACAAGCTCTCTTTAATCTTTTCCACCGGGAAATCCATCACACTCAAACAGGAGTCTGAGCTTCAGCTCATGTTTGTTTTTCACTTAGATACCATAATGATAATATTGTTCACCAAGAATATTCACTAAATAGAGAGCATTTTAGGGCATGTTTTGAACTAAGCTGGATCGCTCTTCAAAACTGATGTATTTTTGTTCTGCATGCTTGACTCAAAATTTCTTTTCTCTTTTCAGGCAGCTATAAATGGTGTTATACCACAAGAAAATGGCATTCTACAAAGGTAAGCACAGAGGATTGGAGTAGTACATACAGAGAATGATACTGGGTAACAGTTACTTTTTTTTCCTTCCTGAATCCTAAGAAGATGACATAATTCCCCTTTTAAAGCTGTTTCTGGAGCCACAAATTCTATTCCTGGCAAAGCTGATTTAGCATTCAGTTGTTCCCATACTGATAGGGGACTAGCTCAAACATCTGTTCAAAATAATTAACTTTTATTTTGAATTCACTGGTGGTTGGGTCATTCTTTGCAGGGTTGGGTTGTCTCTTTACAAAGATTGGGTGTTGGTATGCTTCTGGATAAGTATTTATTTTTCCATATGCATTTATAAAGGTATTGATATTCCATGCTTCCCTATTTCTGGCCAAAAATATTTGTACTTGGGTTTTTTTTTTTTAAATTTTTAAATTGCATTACAGGCAGCAGAAACTGTGATAAAGTAAGGTTGTTCCCTTCTAAAAGTAGTTTTACTGATTTTCTTTCAGCTTCTGAATTAAATTTTGGCTTGCATACTGATGCTTGGATATCTTGAAGTCACTGAAATTTGATCTTCTAAGTGCTGATGAGGCAATTGAAAACAGCAGAACGGGAATTAAGCTACCTGAGAGAGACAGTAAAACAGTGTTTAAAAATTTGTTCAGAAAAACAATTAATGTACTATTAAAAATTTTTTAACAATTAAATAAGATGTGTAATATAGGTAAAGTGATGTTTGACATCTCTGTCAATGCTTACTAATTCAACAGAGCCAGGTTTTGATTGAGGATAAAACTATTTGCCTAGTAAAGTTACTAAATATATATTTACTGTAAGGCCTGTTTAGTCCATGTGAGATCAAGTCTTGGTTGTGTGGAACACTCATTCTGCATACAAGTTGTGATTTCAAAGCATTTCTATCCAAAATCCCAGAATGTTTGGTTGGGTAGAAGAAGCTGGGGAATAATTAGAGTAGTTAATGCCTGTCTTCAATCACAAGGTGGTCCAGTGCCCACGTATATTTTTCTATCACAGTAATTTATTAATTTTTAGTAATTATTAGATAGTCAAATGTGTTTCAAATGGGAATTTTTGTTACTTTATTTTTGTCTTGTTTTGTATTCTTCCAGTGGAAGTGGTTTAAAGGGAGGCTCAGAAGATTTAGAAACCTGGTTTCCAGATAAGACTTACTTTACTGATGTGGGGCCTTTTATGTTCTGTTAGAGGTTGCTTGTCAGATATGTAGGATGCCTCTTTTGGTGGAATCAAATAAAATTAATACAACTGGACTTGAAGCAAGTTAATTTATTGAAGAGAAAAAAGTACACTTTGTTGTATAATTCAGTTGCTTGTTCTGTAATCCAGTCCTGAGAACTGGGATATTAATTGCTTCTTGGGTCTACTAACAGAATTGTTACTTAATTGTACTTAACTCATACTTGTCCACCAGGTTGAAGAAAATGATATATCACTTGGTATTTATACTTTTTTAAATACTGAAAATTAGGATGTTTCCTGTACTCCTTAGAGTTCTGACGTGGGGCTTTGACTTTTGAGCCACAGGTCTGAGTGTGTGGGTCTTTGTAGCTGGGCATTCATCCTTCTGAGCATGCTGATGTGAGAAGTGAAGGAGCCCCTTGTTTTACAAGCATAACATGTTTTTCTGGTACAAATGTGAAAGGCACAATGATGGGATTTGCAGTTGCTGAGTACTGTTGCACTTCAGTGACATGCATGCCATCCACATTTGCATCCACTTTTTAAAGTTTTTAAAGTTCAGACTTTTTAGGTTCAGGTTTTTAAAGTTCAGACCTCCTCTAGGTGACAGATTTCACTTGCTCTATGATGGATTTCCACTGGTAATCTAATGGTATCTTTGAGAACAGAAGGAATTTTTCAAATAACTTATTGTAAAGAATGAAAATGAGACAAATTATGTCGCAGCATTTCTGAAATCCACCATGAGATTCTGTAACTGCCCAGCATCTTCCTGGCAAGAGCATCTAAAAGGCAACACCCCAGGCTTACCTGATGAAGTTTCTTGCCTTCCAGATTTGATTTCTGTACATTCTGTATATCATAGGATTTTTTTTTATTTTGCCTGGAGTAATATTCCTGGAGTTTTTTTACACTTGTTTCCAATCCCAGTTACATGCTTGCTGTAGAGAGGCTCTGGGGAAGATGAAGTGCTTCTGGGTAGTGAGGGTTTTCCAGTTTATTCTGACCTGTAATGCTGTGGGTGTCCTTGAGTCAGGCATGGAGACATCCTTTTATGGATCTTCAGGAGTCTTGCAGGATTTCGAACTTGAAGGAAAGGTAAAATTCAGCATTGCATTACTGTTGTACTTCTAGGTGTTTTCTTTTTAAAAACATGCTTCATTATCTTAATTAATTTACTTAAACATGTATCTATTTTCATATCTGACTTGTTTTTCACTAATTTGGTGTGAGAAAAATACCTATCTGCCTGCAGAATTTTGAGATGTATTTCTTATTCTCATTTCCACTGGATACCAGCCCAATGATGTAGAAAGCTGGTCGTTGCCACGGTGCCAATTTTTATATGCCCACAACACTCCTGGAACAGGAAACAATCCTTCTCCTCAAGATAATTCTGGTATCAATTACATAGTGGATTTTAAATGCTTGTTTATCACCATTGTTGATCTCCTATAGCACTCCTGAGCCCTGAAAGGTTAAAATTGCTAATATACAAGTTACTTTTTAATTTCTAATAAGCATTTTTTTCAGATATGACAGCACTAATTCAAGAGGTGTGTGCTGTGTAGTAAGTGAATAATACTGTCATTTTGCTTTCCTAACTTCTGGCTAGGCATACCAAGCTGTTCTGTTTCAATCATCTCATTTGCCTGTCTTTCAGTGAGTACGGTGTAGAGACTTTGCATGGACCAGCGTATGGCCCCAGCAGTCACTCTGCTGCAGCTTCTTCAGCTCCCTCCTCCTCCTCAGCATTTCGCCATGTAGTGCCATCCAGACAAATAGTGGAAAGACAACCTCGGATGCTGGACTTCAGGGTTGAGTACAGAGACAGAAATGTGGATGTAGTACTTGAAGACAGCTCTACAGTTGGTAAGGATTTGTGAAAATGAAGTGAAAGCTGCTGCCGTGAAACTGTTAAAAAGACAAGCTAAAAAGATTCAACCCCAATAATCCAAGTCCTAAAGCAAAGTAGAACAAAACCCCACAAAAAGGAAAAAAAAGATCCCCCTGAAAATGCAGCCTCCAAAGCTACTAACCATTTTCAAATTTCTTTGCAGCTTTAAAAAAGCAAAATTTCACTAATCCATGGTAAAGGTTAATGATCTATCAAATATTTATTTTGAAATCTAGTTTTCTTATGGACTTGCTTCAGAAACAAAATGGAGATTAATGATTAAGTTGAGGCATGAAAATGTAATTTGGGATAGGATTAGTGTAGATGCAAGCTATTAATAAGTGGATGATCTTGGCATTTCCTCTTTGAATCTGTATGGCATCTCTTTCTACAAAGGATTAGTGACAAGATTAGAGGAATTCTTCCTGGTGTGAGGAACATCATTGCATTCTTCGTAGTTCAATTTTTATTTGACCCTTTCATTCAAATTAAGATTAATTATATCAGTTTTATTGTCTTTATCGTAAAAATGATACATTTTGAAGCAATATGTTAGAAGTGTGCTAGTGTTTCAGAACATATTTATATTCCCCAAACTGGGAATTAATTTACTTCTGCTAAGGAAGAACGGTATTTTAATTTTTATTTTTTATTTTTAGTGAAGAGCTTATACAGATCCAAATAAGGAGCTACGTGAAGGAATAGTGGATGAAAGCAATTTTGCGTGCTGCAGCCTTTTGTCTGGGATGAAATTTGGAAATTGAAACTTTTGAGCTTCACAAATTGTCTTTTCGGCAATTTGGTGTAGGGTGGCGCCACCTAGCGGTGCTCGGTTTGAATTACCGATGGGCGTTCTCGGTTTTCCTTTGTGCTAAGTTACATCCGTGGAAATCGGACATCAAAATCTCCTCAGATCAGAGCTTTTCATCTGATTTTTCTTTTCTTATTGTCTTCTTAATAGTTGATTTTTACCTGAAAGCTGTAGGGCAGAAGGCAGTTTGTGTAAAACTTCTGTATCTTGCGATACAAAGATAGAGGGCAGCCTCGTGTTTAAAGCCCTGGGAGAAGTGAGCAAGGCAAATTTTAAAACCTTAGCTGTGGACTTGAGGAAAGAATAGTTTTGGCTTTGTAGGGGATCTGCTTGCCCATGAGAGGCTGCTCAGGAGGGCACAGGGGCCCAAGAGAGCTGGCTGATCTTCAAGAACAACCTCTTCAAAGCACAGGAACAGTTCCTTCCAGCGTGCAAGAGGAGCAAGCATGGCAGAAGGTCAGCACAGAAGAAAAAAAGCATTTCTGGCTGAACTAAATTCAAAATCAAAGTAGCCAGAGCTGGAAAGTAGTGATGGGCTGCCCAGCAGGAGCACAGAGGTGTGCAGGTTTTCAGTTAGGAAGACCAAAACTCAGCTGAAGGTGAAACCACTGAGGGGTTAGAAAGTACCTCTGCTTGAGAAGAAAGGCTAAGGCAAATGTGAACCTGTGTTCAGTGATGATTGCTGAGCTTTGTCTGTGGGAAGATTATGGAGTAAATCTTTCTGGAAGCACTTTTTGAGCACAGGAAAGAAAAGAAGGGGATTTGGAACAGCCATCATGAATTTACTAAAGGCAAATTGTACCTAATCAGTCAGCATTATTTGCCTTTTACAATTTGATGACTGGCTCAGTTGACAGGGGGAGAGAATGTCACTGTGGCTTTAGTAAGGCCTTGGATGTGTATTTAGTAAGGCCTGCTGTTGTATTTTCCTAGTCATAGTGTTAAGATAAAAACTGGATAAAAAAACTGATCAAAATAAATCTTAATCTGCTCAGAGAAGGTATTCTGAGCAGATATTCTGGAGGGCAGGGCTGCTGTTTAGTGGGTCCTGGACAGTCTGAAGAAATGGGCTGACAGAGCCTCCTGAAGTTCCAAGAAAATAAAGTTGAAGTCCTGTATCTGGCATAGGATAACTCCATGTTATCCCCACCTAATACCTGGTTGAAGGCTGATGGGCTCGAAGACAATTTCATCAAAGGGATCTTGAGCGCTGCAGCAATGAACTCTTGCAGTGAAGAAGACCTGCCACATCCCAGGCTTTGTTGGTGAGACTGTAACCAGTGGATCCCAGGAAATCATTATTTCCCTCTATTCAGCACTTGCCAGACTGCATCTGGAGCACTGGGTGGGGTTTTGAGGTGCTCACCAGAAGATGATGACAGCCTTCAGTAAGTCTGGTCAGGGCTCTGGAGCTCTGGGCTAACAGGAGGAGAAGCACAGAGAAGGGGATTTGTCCAGACCTGACCTCTGTCTGCAGCTGCCTGCTGGAGGACATGGAGAAGATGGAGCCAGACTTGTCCTGGAAGTGCATGAGAATGGAAGGCAATAGACACATCAACAATTCACATTAAATAAAAGTTTTTGTTTGTTTGTTTGTTTGTTTTGTGAGGGTGTTGAGGTACTGAAACTGGTTGGCCATAAAAACTTCCATCCTCACATGTCCAAGAGCCAGTTGGACAAGTCATTGACTAAACTGGTTTAATTAGACCTTTGAGTTAGGCTTGGGTCACATGAACTCCAGAGGTACCTTCCAGCCTGAGTTACTTTATGACTGTGATAACTACAGGGGCAGGAGAGCTTCAAAATGTACAAAGCATTGGAAAAGCTGTCAGAGCAGTCAGTTGTATGAACATTCTAGTTCCTTAGGTCTGGACTTAAGCTAATGAAATTTGGTATCAGAAATATGCACCCTCTTTGTTGCTGGCAAAGCCTTGTGCTCCAGATAGCACACAGCTATCTGTGTGTCTAATAAATATGGAATATAGAGTTACCAACAGATATGCTGAAATTATCAAATCCTTTGTGATTCTCCAATCATTCATGCTTTGTGATTATTTTTTTAAGCTTCATTTGTCCTTTACTGTTTGAAGGGTATGTTGCAAGGGTAACTAGACTGAAAATTCTTCTCAAGAGTGAATGTTTCCTTGCTCTTATTTTTTAAGTACTACTCACTACTGTTTAAAATAAAGCAGTAAATGTGTTTATTTCCTTTGTTTTTCTCTCTAGGAGATATCAAACATATACTAGAAAATGAACTTCAGATTCCTGCATCTAAAATGCTGTTAAAAGGGTGGAAGACTGGAGATGTAGATGATAGTGTAAGTTTTCAACTGTTTTCAGTTAACTGAACTCAATTTCAAACTGAGCATCTGTGGGTGGGGATTACAATGCAAGAATTGTTAGTTTCAAACAGTGTCAGATGCCTTGGGTGGCACACAAAGAGCTCTTAATCTAAAACATTGCAAAATAAAATCAGGACAAATCAGTTTTGTTTGGTTTGTATATAATGTGGCCCACCTACAAAAATGATGTTTTGATGTAACAAGAAGTGTATCTCAAAACAAAATATTTGCTGATATTGTAAATACATAGCTATGATTTTTTAAAAAGTCAGAATTGGTGAATGTCTTATATTTATAATGATTTTTCTCCCCTCAGACTGTTTTAAAAAGTCTACACTTGCCAAAAAATAATAGTCTTTATGTTCTAACACCTGACCTGCCTCCTCCTTCTTCAAGTCATTCTGGGTAAGTCTTTTGGACATAAATTCTATTTGTATGGTTTGGTTTTTTTTTTGTTTGGTTGGGTTTTTTTTTTTGTTGTTGTTTTTTTTAATGAAGCCATGTGTGTATTTGTAGGAATCTGCAGTCAGTAAATACGAAGTGTTTTCACTGCACTAGTGACTGTTGGGATGAATTAACTCAGCATCTCATTGAAAAGAAACTTGTTGAGGTTTTTAGAACTTTGGTGGGGTGTATGAACCTCTTAGGTATATATAGAATTTTACACTCTCAGATGTGATGACTTCAACAGAAATCTAGTCCCTGGAGGAACAAGAGCTGGCCTTGCATAAGTTGCTGCTTTATGTTGGTCCATTTAATGTATCTTATAAATGTGTATAAATCATTAGTGTCTGTTCAGAATTTTCTTTATGAAATGTTCATTACATTATTTTATCTTGTATTTTATAATATATAGATGGGCTGAATAATTAATTACTATAAATTAATTGTTCATTAAGAATGAATTATAATTTATTTCCTTGAATTGAGAAGAATATATTTTATTACTTATTTGAACACTCAAGAAGTAAGCAGTGAGTGTTTATATGTCACAGAATCACAGAATCATCAAAGCTGGAAGAGACCTTCAGATTATCTAGTTCAATCCAGCATAATGACCTCGGAGACACATCCCAGGTGCCACATCCAGACATCTCAAACACTTCCTGACTCCACCATGTCCCTGGGCAGCTTAATCCAGTGCTTAAACACTCTTTCAGGGGAAGATATTTTCTCATACCTAATCTGAATGTGCTGTGGTGCAATTTAATGCTGTTTCCTTCATCCTTCCACCTGGGACGCGGCCGTGGAGACAGGTCCCCTCCTATTTTTGGGGGTTTGGGGAGTGAGGAGGTGCCCCCTGAGCTGAAGGGTTTCTCTGCCTGGGCGCCCCGGGCTCCCTCAGTCACCGCTCCCAGGACTTTCCTCCGTGTCCTCCCAGAGCTGAGGGGCCCCGAGCTGGGCACAGCAGCCAGGTGTGGCCTCGGCAGCCCCGGGGACAGTCCCTGCCCTGCTCCTGCCCTGCTCCTGCCCTGATCCCGGTAAAATCCAGGCGCCTTCCCGGCCGCCTGGGCCTACCCGGCTCCCCTGGGCCGGCCGCTGCCCAGGGGCACCTCCAGGCCTCCTTCTTCTGTCAGGGGGTATTGCAAAGGTTTGAAAATGAAACGGTCTTGTATGGAAAATACTCTATTAAAGCAATTAGCGATTCGTTCGGTTTGTTTTCTTCCGTGTCCTGTTTGCCAGGAAATGGGGAATTTTCCTCGGGAGCCGCTAGAGGGTGCGCGGGAATTGAGGCTGCCAAAGGAGCTGCTCCCGCCGGTGCCTTTGGAATCGGGCAAAAAACGTGGATTTCAGCTTGTCTGAGGAGCGAGTTGGCTTTCTGCCCCTGTAGGTGATAGGAGAATATTCTGCAAGTGCCAGTTCTATTGCTGGTGGGAGGAATTCTTTGAGAGTCAGTAGAAATTTGTAGTTGCCTTCCTAAGGATGGAAAGTACTTTGTATAGTACTAAAAGGTACTTGTGCACAGTAACATGTAGTTTGTGGAAGAATTAAGAATGGTGATATGAATTATAAAAATAATAGTTATAAGAAAAAGAGCATTAAGAGAGGGAAGAGTGGCACTTGAACAGAGGGTGGTGTGCATGAACTGTATGTGCAAACAAACAGGAGCTGTATTTGTGTGTGAGGACAATAAGCCATTGTACCTTAGCAGCTATTGAAGAACAGTAAAAAGACACTACAGCTGCTAATTGTTTCATTTCCAATTTCAAAATTTTCTAGCCAGGTATTGCTGTATATTGTATTTTGAATGTTATAATTCTGGAGAGAAAACTGGAGTCTGGAGAGAGTTGTTTCTTGCAACTGCAGTAAAGTATATAACAACAAACTGTTTAAAAACAGTTCTTTGCCTTTTTTATTGGATTAATGGCTTTAAAGAAGTTCACTTGATAATAAAATCAAAGTAGTTGTTACCTTTTATAGTTTATATTTGTTTCATAGTGGAGATTAGTTCTGGATATTTTTAAGATAAAAGTTGGTAGCTTTGGGACAGCAAATGGTGACTAATTAGTGGCTATTTAAACACGGATAATTTGAAGGCTAGATCATCTTCCTGAAGTCATAAATTCTAGATGAAAGGAGAGGCTTGCCTCCAATTAAAGCATCAATGCAGATCAAAACACATCTAATTGAAGCAATGTACCAAACCCAGTTACACTGTTTACTGCCTACTGTTAGGTCAGGTATTATTCAGATTAGTTTGTTACCCACAATTTTTAAAAGCGTCATGCTCATATCTATTATTAATGGATGTTGAGGAACTTTGCCTCTTGCTCTGGGAGTTCATCTGTTGTTTTCTTCAAATGCTTTCTGTTTTGAACTAGAGATAAATAGTCGTGATTTGAATATCTCCAGAAAGTGATATTTGAAAAGCCTGAGATTCCAGTATGTGATATTTTATCTACATGCCCTTCTTAAAAGGAACAGTCTGGCCTCAGCTCTGTAAGCTCCAGTTTTTGTCTGTTCTTTATAGTGAGGCAGAACAGTGTCTGAAACATCCTATTCCAACATGTTGATATGAAGGCATTGAAGTTTATTGTGACAGACTGAATGGGCTTAACCCAGAACTGACTGAAAACCACCATCTAAATGTAATGGCAAAGTGATCCTGCCTTTTAAGTAAACAAAAATCTTCTGGGGTATCTTTCTTCATCAGTGGCCTACCTAAAGCTTTTATAGGTACTAGAAACCCAGTGAATTACTGCTGCATGGTAGTAAATTGAGGTGGAAAGATAAAATTTAAATGTCAACTATCGCCTGTATGGTTCCACCTTGCTTCCACAATTTCTGCTGGCAAAGCCACACTTATCCATGCATGATATCCAGAACAATAACCATGTATTCTGTGAGCTGTGGACATACTGAAATCTAATTTCTAGTGAATTCCTGCCTCATCCCAGCAGCCGTGGTAAATCAACCTTCTCTTTCTATGCTTCCCAGCATCTCACCTACCTCTGGTGCTGGCTCCTGTTGTTGTATATTTTGTAGCATCTGTGTAATATTTTTCCCCTTGCACAGAGTATCAGCCTGCCCTGCATCTGTTCTCCAGCTCACAGTCAGGTAGTATCAAAGGAAAGGAGAAATCGTGTCCTGTGGGTAGTTCTGAGATCACTGGCCAGGGGTCACCTGGATGAGTATAAAAAATACTTTGCTTTTAGTGTAGCCTTTTACTGAGGTGGGTGGTAATTTGGGACCCCTTCCTCCTCCTGGCTGCCGATTTACACCTGGTATTTGAGACCTTTCTAACAGTATGAGACCTCCTTAAAACCAGTGACTATGTTCAAAAGTTACCACGTGGGTGGAGAAGAACACGATTTCCCTTGAAAGGAAAGATGCCAAAGAATGTCCATCATTCAATGTCCATGGGGGTAGATCCCTTGCACCATCTTTGTCAGATTAGATTAATCCCTTGCTCAGCAATTCCTTCCCTTTGTTGCCGTGGCTGCTTCTTGAAGGCTGACAATACTCTGTTGAGGAAATAGGTTTGGGAGGATGCAAGAGGAAGCATGAAAAGTGTGAGCATGGGAGTCTGGCCATGGAACTGGGTCATCCAGATCGTCTGTCCTTTCTATCCTGGGAGATGCTTTTTATCATTTTTTGTTGCTGCTGTCATTATAATGGATATAATGTATTTTATACTTTTTTTGCTAAATAGCTGAAAATCAAAGATATTTTATTATACTTGATGAATCACTGGAAAGTTGAAAAGTATGAAAAACCCAGGTGCATAGCATTGAGATTATTAGAAATAATGGAATTTTTCTAAGTAACTGTAACTGTTAAACAAGTCTAATCATCTATGTGGAAAAGAAAAAAACCACAGATCCCTTTCTTCAAGCAATAGGTCCATATATTGCTGAATGCCTCTGCTTTAGATGATTGCAGAGCACTGGTGGTGATGTGGTGTCTTGTTGTACGTTATCAACTGTAGCAGAGTGTTAATTAAGAACGATGTAACCTGCAGCTCCAATTATTAGTCCTGTCTGTTTAACTGGACAGGAGCAGTGCCTTGCTGTAGTTACTTTAAAAGCTTCCATAAGAATGGTAAGATTAATGTTTTATTTTCCCATCTGTTCATGAGACAGTTTAAAAATCCTGAAGTTTAAAATGCAATAGAATGTAAACAAAAGGGCTTCTGCTCATTTACATGTTAGCCAGATTTGCTAACTGATTGCTGTTTGAACCTAATCTACCACCTCCTGCTGCATTAGCTACAACAAACATTACATTTACATACTGATTTCTTATTTTGTTTTAATGTAAATAATCTGTAATTACAGTAAATTTGGACTTCTGTTGACATGAGCTTATATAAATCTGTAAGTTTAAAATGGAAATGTTAATTACCTTGTGTCATACCTGTTTATATAAAATCAGATGTTTTGGGGGAAATCTCTGTGACTGAGAAAGATATTGCGTAGTGGGAAAAACTGAGTATATTTCATAAAAACTGGAATGAAAAGGAACATTTACATATCATTGATTAAGGGTTTACTTACGGTGTCAAATTCTAAAATACTAGTAAAATTTCAAAGACAAATGCTGTCAAAAAGCCATCACTTAACAGCAGATAGAATCAATCTGGTTTTTATGTCCAAGTATCTTGCTAGAACTGGTCAGAGCAATGACTGTGCTCTGATCTGTTTTCTTTTGTCTGTTCTTGAACTCCTTTTTTGGGTGCAGGCAGGGTACCTCAATTGGAGGATTGGTGCCCAAAAATACAGATTCCTTTGACTATTGTGCTACACAGCAAGTGCAGAATCATTCAGCTGAGGTAAAAAGATTGTACTGGTGTATATCACCTAACAGCAAATGCTTTTCAAAGCTGGGGTTTGCAGTAGGGAAAAAAGGTTCTAGCAAGAGTGGCCTACTTTAGTCCTCTTTCCAGAATTTAGTTTTCTTTTCCCACTAATTAATTCTCAGATTAATTGTATTCTCTTAGCACTGGTGGCAATAAAGAAAAAGAAGGAAAAAAATCTGTCTTTTCTTTAATGGGACCTACAGTTTGACCCTGATTTTTTTTCCCCCTTTTAATATAGCTATTTTATTTGGAAAATTGTAATGAACTATAACATTTGTAGGAATATTAAACAGCTGCAAACACAGAGGCCAAAATTTTAGAGATGCGCCTTGTATTCAGAGTCAGTCCTCTCAATTTACTTACGTGGATCTGAAGAGAAATGGAAATAGGCTTTATCTTACTGTCAATGAGAAGTTTCCTATAAATACTTCCACCTTGTAAAATTTATCATTACCTTAATGGCCACAATACCATTTTTGGGCAAGATGTATTTTGGCCTAAGTGATTTGAGGTAATCTGGATCCCCCTTGGGATGGGACAGACATCGCTGGCTCTGTGTTCACATCAGCCCCATCCCACACAGAAGGGTGGCACCAGTGCTGGCATCAGTGACCCATCAGATGTGCCATCAATCAGATATGCCATCAGTTCCTCCTCCCTGTGACTTTCTTGTGGACACTGTCCAAGCTTTACAGCTGTCAGGCCATGGGAGATTTTGATGTAGGAGCTCCAAGGACTGGAGCAGGTGACCAGTACATTTCTGTAAACAGAAGTAATGTTCCTCACTTTGTTATTTTTCTGAAGAAAAAGTGAACAATTAACCATGCACTGCATTTGCTAACACTTTCAAACCCAGTTTTTCCTCAATTTTTTTAGCCAACTTAATTTTCAGCCTCTTTTTTCACTCTGTTTGTCAATGAATATGTACCGAGAATTTGCTTGTTAACAACATTCAGCTTGTGTTGCTTAGAAATCCCAAAAGTAGAGGTGTCAAAATTGTTAGTTCAAAAATTAAAGCTTTTAATTTTTAGGCACTTAATTTAAATTTGTTTGAAGAGTATTTTTTTCCCTTTCCAAAATACTTCCTGCTCTCACAAGTGGAAAACTTTTCCTATGAGCGGATGCTTTTTATTAGCAAGCTGTATTTTGAGTTGTACTGAAGTGTGTGGATCATGCATAACTGGAGAGACTGAGGGTTTGATCAGACTGGCCTGTTTATTCTATGTTTACATCAATTACAGAATGAAAACATGAGTCATGTTATCAGTTAGCATCTACAGATTTTCAGATAGAGTCAAAATTAGCTATAACAGAACCATGTGTGAGTGTATGGAATCCAGAGCCATCCACATATGCAGTAATTAATGTTTTCAGAGCAATTAAATATGTCATTTGCCTTCAGTATTTGCTGAAAACAAATAAAAAATCAGAATCTGAAAACGCACAGCGGGATATTTTAGTTGCTACTGAACATTTGCCAATAGAAAATATGGTTATGGGGATGCGAAACTTGCTAACAATCAAATTAGAATTACTTGTGAAAATAGACATGCAACTTTTCAGGACTCTTATTTTTTTTTTTTTCCCCCTCTTTTGAAGAACTGTTAAGTAGTTAAAAAACTGTTATGCCTTTTGTCAAAAATCTTGTGAAAGTGCAGAAAACTACATGTTGATCATCGATGTCTCCAGTTACATTTGTAGCATCTCTCATGCTCATGATCATACTTAGCATTGGCAATGAGTTATATTTATTTTCCATATTGGAAAACCATAAAAGACAAGAAATAGCATTTCATGATTTTGTTTTGTAGTTTGTGATTATTGAGATGTGTCTAGAGCCAAATTAGGCTTCTGAGTGAAGATATTTTTGTAAGGTGAATTTCCCTAAGATGTTCAAACAAGCTGTGTAACTCTTGCTGAAGCATCCAGTAAGTATTGCATGAGTTCCTTCTATCTGAGCAGCAAAACAGCAGATCAGTAATTCCAGAAGGAATTAAAACTAACAAATCAGGTCTGAAATGATGTAGGAGTCTTTCTTATCTTCTTGTATCGTAAGATACAGCTGTGTTGATCTGCATTCAGAATTTGTCCTTTAGTGCTAAGAGGAATGGCATGTAGAAGTGTCACAGGATAGTGAAGATGTGAAGCAAAGAAAAACAGTCTGTCATTCTTTTAAGTGTATGTGATAAGAAAAAAAAAAGAATTTAATAGGCCCAATTAAATTTCATACGCCACTGAACAAGTCAAGTCTGCATAAATATTGTTTAGAAACCCAAGCTGTGGTACAGTCTTGCTGCAGTTTTGTAGCATGTGTAAGATTGCACACAGCCATAATTGCTGTCTGTAACAGAAGTTCTGCCTTCTGCTTTGAAAAGTAGATAGCTGCGTTATTTTGTACCTAATGCCTTCTTAATATCCAGATGTTTTACCACCAGGAAAATCAGAAAAAAAACCCCAAGTTTATAACAACATGAAGATATGGTTGGTCTGTTTAAACTGTATCTTAAGATTTTTTTAAATTTAATTTTTATTTATTTTTATTTTTATTAAAACCTCTGAGAATGTACATTTAAAACAATGTGAGCAGAACTAAATTTTCTAAATGTTCAATACCCACATGAGAAATTCTACTGTGGTTACTTTTCCAGTTCTAATTAGCTGGGTTTATGTATCTTTAAATGAATCTAAGCAGAATAATTTCCATTTGGTTTCTACTTCAGGTAACCCTTGAGAAGCAAGAGCATGCTTTGCCTTGTTCTATTTACCATCAGTTCTTAATGTGCACCATAGCTTGATATTTGGTCTGGCCATCAATATGCTGACAAGCCTATTATTAATGGCATTAGGAGTGCTAAATACACCCGATGTTTGTGAAGATAATGGGACTCTCTCCATTTTGAAAATACTTAACATTAGATGAGCTTTAAAGGCTGCAGTCACCTTATTAAGGAGGGAGTTCAGGAATGGCCTTTGGTCATTCTCAGCATGCTTCCTTGCATTTAAGAGTGAAAAGAGAGATGATAATGTTGTGCCTGGACTTGTCCATGTAGAGTTTAGGGTACCCTGGGGTTTCTGCATCTAACTGTAAAACAAGCTATAACATGCTTATCCCTGATTTTTCTGTTTTTCTTTCAACCATTTCAGGGCCCTGCAGGAGTCATTAAATCAAAACTTCATGCTGATTGTCACCCATCGAGAAGTCCAGCGGGAGTACAACCTCAACTTCTCAGGAAGCAGTACCATTCAGGAGGTGAGTGCTGCTTCACAGCTCAAGAATAAATGTAGCTCATTATAGCTAATGCCAGCTCTCTTAAAAGGGGTTTGCATAGTCTTGATGGATATTCCTGTATTTTATTAGTCTTTTTTATTTTAATCAACTGGATCATCAAGATTTGCTGTAATTTGATTAAAGAATTCAATTAGAAAAAGGTGTTCTATTAAATGATACAGAAAGGATGTTTCTTTTTGTATTGTAGTAGCAAAATACACAAACAGTTGTGTATACACAATTTATTGAGCTTTTCAAATTTCATTTTACTTGAAATGCCTTGAAGCTCCCTCTGTCTTCCATTCTTTTAACCAGCTCCATCTCCATTTTGTAGGCACCTCGACCACTGTGCTGGTTGCTGGTGGAGTGCTGTAATTCTTACTGGCCTGGTTGCCAAATGGTTTTGTGTGTAATGGACGTTGCTGCCGTTCTGTGGAACGGCCAGCAAGGGGTGATATTGGAGAGAACTTCGGCAGAATTAAGTCCTAAAGGAACAAATATCTCTGATGTGACTCTGGACTCTCTGAATTCAGAATAAGCAGCCCCTTGCATATTTTTGAAACTCCTTTCCAAGCCCAAAGATTGTTGTCTAGTGCTCCATGGTGTATCTAATGCCACATGTTGTGGATGTTATTTTCCATATGACCCACTGCCTTCTAGAAACTTAACAAACAACCTAGAAATGTGAATCTTCAGAATTCACATTACAAAATATTAAGATTAAATGTTTGCTTTTAAAATTAAATGTATGTTTGCTATTATTGGTCTGACTCTTCTCTCAGTCTTTTAGGGTTGAACAGATTTTATTGAAGTTTCTCGTGTCATGTGCTGACATGGTAGACAGAATTAATTTAAGTTCTGTAACATTAGCTATGGGAGTAGTATCTCATACAACAATGAAAAATGATCACTAACTGTTTTCCTTGTGAATCCTGTTATTCTTAAGATCTAAATTCTCCCATGTGAAAGCTTGTTTTCTATTTCTTATGTTTAGATCTACTACAGTAAGTTCTGTTTTGCTTTTCGTGGTAATACAGATACACATACTTGAATCAGTTTGACTTTTGAAGGGCTGAGCTTTGACTCTCTAGAATTATAAAGAATTTGAATGTTTTTGGAAATAAGTCATCCAAATATGTGCTTTTTACTTTAAAATTGTGTGATTCTAAAAGAAAACACATATATATATATATTGTCTGTTTGTTTTTTATCAATGCTGTATCATTTACTTCTTTACTGATGGGTCTTACCTGGCTTAAAGGAACCAGAAAGCTGTGACAGGGGGATCCAGGCTGCCTTTCCATGCACTGGAGTTTTCTTATTTGTTGGTAATGGCAGGTTATGGTCATCAGGTTGCCATATGAAATCAACATAATGTAAAATTTAATTATTTTCCCCTTAAACAACCAAAATGAAAACCCTATTACCACGTAACCAGAAGGAGCACAAAACATTTCCTTGCCTTTCTTGTATCTGAGTGTCACACCCAATAGAGTGTATAAAATTGTGAAGGGGCTAAAATGGCCCTGGTTGTGCAGCTGATGCTGAACAGGTGAACATGTCTGTCTGTGCAAAGGCTCCTGGAAATCCCTGGGGATTTTGCTGAGGTAAAAGGGTTGCTGAACATTTGTCTAATTATAGAAAACAAGCACTGTTTTGAATGTTAACTCCCTAATGGCTTCTTAATTTATTTTTTTTTTCTTTTAGAGTAATCATTGTAACAAATCTAGGCAGTCCTTGTGGCTTGGAGGAATTGGTGGTATCATTCCTCATCTCCTTTGTCTCTGTCCTCTCCAGGGACTGTTAGATTTTTTTTCCCTCTTCATTCTCTTGTTCACACTTTAACAAATTAATAGTTTACTTTCCTCCTGGTGTATTTTTGTAACGGTGGAGAAGCTCAGTGATGCAGTTGCCAACCACAAGAGGGCAGGAAGGACTATTCAATTATTACCTAAAAATGCTGCTCAGTGTTTTCAAATTAGCTTCTGGTATATTAACAAAAAGGACTATAATGGCCAAGTTATTGTTTGATTTACAGATAATTGGCATATTGCAGGGAGGAGACTTAATTTCACCCTTTTAAATTAAACAGGGAGATTTAAAAAGACATAAAATATTCATTAATGTTCAGTGATTATAAAGCAGTGGCATATATTTATTCTACCTTTATTACTGTTTCGATGGGAAAATACAGCAAATATTTCAGAAATCGACTTGGCCATACTGACAAGTTGAAATGTTTAAGCAGTGTTAATGCAATCTACTCACACGCCATCTCCTATGCAGAAAGATTCAAAATGACTACATCAATTATTAAAAGAAATATTTAAGATTCTAGAAATGTTCTACTTCTTGCCACAGTTGGTGCAACTGTCTCTCAAGGGCTACTGGTGCAGTGTGTTGTTGTTATTAGTATTGTGAATTTTAAGGGATAGATATTTTTTCCAGGGGTCTCAAAAACCCCCCAGACTCACACCAAAAACTCAACCCCACCACCCTTTCAGAAGGCAGAAATGTTTTGCAGTGCATTAAATGCAAAATCCAGTGAGCTCACAACTGTGCTTTCCTAAACTACCATTGCTGCAGTTCTCTGGTTTTTTATTGTTTAGGATGCATGTTTAATAGTGAATGATATTTGGATGAATTGTTTTTTCAAAGAAATTGCAGTGTTTAAGGGGAAACCATGTGACAAAAAAATATCTGAGAGAAGCCTGATCCCGTAGTGCTCATGTCTGCTTCCAAAACTGATTGCATATCACTTTAATAGTGGCATTTTGGAGGGTACTTGAAAACACCTTTGTTTTATTTTTTAATATTCTTTATCAAAATAGGTATCTCTTTAGATATTAAGATCTGTTTTCTCATCTTAAAAAATATAAGTTACATTCAGTTATATTGTTTTGTGATCCTGAACTTATACAGAATCTTTGGAAATGAAATTAAAAAATAAATGGAACTTGTAAAAAATTCTGTATATTCGATTTACATTTTTTTTTGAGTTGGGCAGGGGGGTAGTTAACTTGGAAAGTTAATAACAACACGATGGTCTAAATTGCAAGTTAATCTGTGTCACAGGTTTCTGCCATCCATTTGTTCTCATAAAATTGCACTATTAAATTAATTCTAGGCAGATACTGTTCTGGGAAATATCATGGTTACTTTTTTCCATGATCTGCATTTTAAATTGGAAATTGGTAGGTTTTGTGCCAGTTAGGAGACTGTTAATGAATACATTTCCAGTGTGTTAGACGGTTAAATAAAGGCAATTTGACAAATTGAACTCCTAATACAAGGCTAAAAGGAGTTTTCTTCTGAAGACTTGTTCTTTATTCTGCTACAATAATTTATAGAGGCTGTTTGAAATTGGAAAGATTTTTTAACTTCAGGTTTGAGAAGCTCTGTCCTAAATTATTACAAGGCATTGCCACATTAAAGATAATTTCTTTTCCATCTATACTTACCAACTTGTTCTCATTTAGAAATGAACATTTCTACTATTTTTCATTTTTGCAAGTTGTAGTTTTATTATTTGACAGAAATGAAGGAAAGCCTTCTTTAGAAAGGGGAATATTTGAAAGTGTTAAAAGCAATTTTGTGTTCTGATCCTGGAGCAGACAAACTAATTTGTGAAAAACTTAATGGGCTTGAGTCACAATAATGTGCTCTACACTTTTTGTTTTAATCAGTGACACAGAGAAAAAAAAAATCAAACATATTTAACAAACTGGATCGCTCCATTGAAAACAAGGACTTTACATTTGTCTGTTTTACTCTTTTGGTACAGATTTTGAAGCCTTTTTGTGATTCCTTCGTGCAGAATTGCAAAAATATCCAGTGTACACAAGCTGTGGCTGCTAAAGGGTGGATAAATATGCAGAACCCTCAGTCCCCTCACAGATTGGTGATCTTATTTTGTAACTGCTGGAAATTCCAGTTGAGAATACTATGTAAAGCAAGTACTGGGCACTAGAATTCTTAGTAAAACATAAAATCTGTGCAAACAATGCAGAGAAGATGGGTTTTTAAATACTGGCTGCCTCTGCATAGCTGCCTCTGCTTTTTATTCCATTCCTTTAGCCAATAATTTAAGCAGGGGCTGCCTGCTCAGCATCCCTGTCACCTGTGCTAGGTAATATATTTGTTCTCCGCTCCCCACAGACTCACTGGCTGAGGTGGAATATGGAAAGCAATATGGTGAATATGGAAAGCAATGTATCCAATAGCCCTCCAGGCAGGAGGAGGAACTATTTGTGCACACAACTGCCTGGGCTGAGATAAACTGTAAATTCTGTGTTGACAGACCCTAATCAAATCCTTTGTGATGGATTTCTTTAAACTTTTTTCCGTGAGTGGATGGATGTTAAACAAGATGCAAAATCACCATTATGAGCATGCAGGCAGAAGCCTCATATAAAAGGCCTAAATAAATGTAATACATAAATATAGGTAAGCTGAGAAATTACCTGCAGCAGGCAGAAAAATAGTCTGTCTGAAGGTCTGGTATGTTTTTCAGATCTGTTTTTTGGTTCTGAAAAAAAATATTTTCAAGACAGTTGTTGTTGGGTGAGAGCATTCAAACTGACACTGACATGGAGACATGAAATTCCTGTATAAATAATGTTACTCTTTTAAATGTTGTAGCTAAGTAATTACAATTAAAACACATTTACCAGAAATAGATGTACCCAAATAGGATAAATATATTAATAATTTCAGAAACAGTTATTTTGTGTTTTGACATTTTGTACTTGCTTTAAAATTGTTGAAAACTACTGTTGTAGTAAAAATCAGCAACTACCACTTTTTGGATTTAATAGGTAGTGCGCAAATGTTCTATTGTTCAAATACTCCTAGTATCAGAGAAGCTATTAAAATACATTGCTATATTCATTGTGCTCAAGAGCTGTATGTTTCTGTGAAATGTGAACATTCAGTTTGCTTTTTAAAGAAATCTGTCATCTTAAAATTATACTCAATTTATA